TCTTATTGGTAATAGGCACGTCCAATGTTGCCTTCTCAGGAGTAGCATCTTTGGGAACCTCCTCACCCTCCTCATCATTAGTCAAGTCCAAGACTTGCTCATTTGGAGTAGGGGACTTGGCCCCAGCAGCTTTCTTTGACTTCCTCACCAAGGCTTCCTCCTCAGACTCAGAATCGTCGTCGGATTGGCTTGGAGTTGGAGGGAATGGCAGGACGAGGATGTCGGTGTTCCTGAGGGGGGAGTCCTCAGGGACTTCAAGCTTTTTCAGGAGAGCCATCCAACCAAGGGTGAAACCCTTGTTGCATGTCTGCTTCACCTGTTTCTCGTAGTCCGCCGTGACATCGGCCACCCCCTCATTATATGCTTTCTCATCGGCGGCCTTGAGCTCGGCGTCTTTTGTCGCCAAGGCATTCTGCAGCTCTTTCTGGGCCTCCGCCATTTTTTCTTCAACGTCTTTCTTCTGGGCCTCAAGAACCTTGTTGATAGCCTCAGCGGCATCCGCCTTTTCCTCGGCCTCGTCCTTAGCTTTAACGGCCGACGCAGCCTGGTCGGATAAAGTTTTCATCTTGGCCTCAGTCTTTTTAAGGGTCTTCTGCTAACTAGCAACCTCCCTAGTCTTATCGGCCAACGCCTTCCTTGTCTCAAAAGATTGCATTGAGAAGGAGTGGGCGTGCTGGATCGCCTAAAGGAAAGTGGACAAAACAAGTTATTAGAAAATTCACCAAGTATAAAAAAGAGAAAGAAAGAAAAATACCAAGTATCAAGAACTTACTTGAACGGAACGCTGTAGCATCAGAGCAAAATTTTCGTATTCGCTCATCTGAGTGTTACGATTAAGATATTCGAGCAGAAGCAAGGTGGTAGAAAGTGCAACGCCGACCTCAATATCGTTGGCACTGTCACCAGCCTTAACTGGCTTGTCGTCAATTGTGATTGGCGGGGCCTAGGAGGAATCATGCTTTAGAGACCCTGAGGTGGTTGCAGAGGATGACCTCGGCCTCTTTGATTTGGTGGACTCGGATGGTTGGGCCTCGGCAGGCCTCTTCTCGGCAGCAGAAGAGGTCTTCTCACTCTCTGTCAATTTTGAAATTGGCAAGGTGTCCTCAGTATCAATCTGAGTCACCGTTACCTTGGGTTGAGCCTTCTTCAAACGTTTTGGCTTTGGCTTTGGCTTTGGCTTCGGCTAAGGCTGGGTTTGTGCTGGTTGAGCATCAACTAAGTCAGGAATGTTGGCCAAGAGATCTTTAGCGACTGTTTTCTGGCGGCCCATCTCGGCAGCAAAAACAGTTCGTCGACGTCGTCGGCGTTAAGATGGTGGGATCAGTTGTGGAGCTGAGGTGGATGGCTACTCTGTTGGATCTGAGGTTGATCATTGATTGGGCCGAGATGAGGATGCTGTTGGAGGAGTTATGGCAGAAGAAGGAGATTGGCTTTTCTTCCTCTTTGGGACGTTGGGGAGTACCAATTTGTAGGTTGGGATGAAGTTAAGTACCAAAGGGGCTCTGCGCTTGTGGACTGGCAAATCCAATAACTTCTTCAAACCCTTGCTGGGGAAAAAAGACTTGCGGAAGCTTTTTTCTGGTTGGGGAAGAGCTGCAAGAAAAACAGACATTAGAAGCAAACAAAGTATTGAAGACTTTAAAAACAAGTAAGTATAAACACTGGGCTCTTACTATTACCCTCTACAAAAACTATTCGAGAAAGAGGGTAGAGGTGGAGGTCCTCATTTAGAGCGAACTCCCAGTTCCCCGAGATAATGAAGTAATCATCTTCGGCTCCCTTGTTGGAGTCTGGGAGGTCGGCAACAATTTTGTACTCTGTGGACCTCGGTTTGAGGTGGTAAATATAGCCTTTCTCATTTTTGAGGCCACACATGGTGTAGCAATATTGGATATCGGCTAAGGTAACCCTAGCATTTTCTTGTTTAGCTAAGGCTATTATACCATTTATGACTTGCTAGGAGTTGATGGCAAGCTGCATTGGGTTCAAGTTATAGTAATGGATTATCTCACGGAAGAAGATGTCGAGTGGGAGCCTAAGTCCACACTCAATGAAAGCTACAACGGGGAAGGGCATAGAATCAGTTGTGGGCATGATAGAGTCATCATCCCCAGCCAACCTCAGATGAACGTCGGCTGGGATGTCAAACTCCCGCCTAAAGTGTTCTAACTTGGTCAGGGTGTCTACCGTATGCTTCCACATACCAATGATGTCGGCTTAATTTTTAGGAGTTGGATTTCAGAAGAAGGTGTTTTGTAGGGGTTATAATGACCTCGGCAAAAACCTAAAAGTGAGCTAGGGTAAGAATTTGTGGGGATCGTTTCAATTCTTCTTAGAAATTGTGGGTTCTATAAACAAATCCCAAAACCTAGATCTATGGAAACGAAGATTAGAGGCAAGAATCTGGGAAAAACACGGCAAACAGAAACAAGAGCAATGATTCAGAATCAAGAATATGGGTGAATCATCAAGAACACTGTAACAGAGTGTGTGCAAGGGTGCAAGGCCAAGAACGGTGGCAAAAGTGAATGAGTCTATGAACAGTATGTGTATTCAAGACACGAAGAGTAAAACAGCAATGACAACAAATAATAAGGTAAAGCTTTCTCAAGAACTGGAAACCAGGGAGGAACAGTGGCTTACCAGAAAAAGTGAGGCCAGTGTGGGGATCGCCGAAGTCAGACGACGGTTGCAAAAGCGACAGAGCGGTGAAAATCACGCCTGAAGAGGTGAATGGAGCAAAGTTGAAGAACTAAGAAAGCTTGAACAATGGCAGATTTTGAAGAAAGAGTTAGAAAGAGAGAAAGCTTCAGAAACGATGGTGTAAAATGAAAAGACGGAGAAATAAGGGATGTTTTGACTAAAACACAAAAACGGCGGCAAAGAGGCAATTAATATGCCTAAAATGACGTATGCGTCAGACGGCGCACACGAGAAAAAGACGACTTACAAGCGTGTATCAGACACGGATCAGTGGGGGACAAACGCGTGACAGAAACAGTCGATCTATTCTGCGTGACAGCTCATACGCGTGATAAAACTCTTGGAGTTTTTGATTTAATAAAGCATTGAACTCAGTTGATAAGAATATCTCGGCTAAATAACTCAAATGAACTAGGTTGTTGGTTCTAAAAGCCTTGATGAGATAGACTACAGAAGCTTGTTGTGTGAAGCCGATGTATTGAATGATAGAGCAAGATAACAGACATACACGATATAGGTTCCATCACCTCAAGATGCCGAGGTAATAGAACCTAGGGGGCAATTGTGGGAATATATTTTCTGAGTACCAACACGTGGCCAAGGTGACGTCGACGTGTTAGCCGGGGTGCCACGTGTCCTGGTCGTAACACCGAGGTGATCTCGGCTAGGCCGAGGTTATCTCCGAAGATATCGAAGTCCGGGATAAGCGGAAAAGGGACAAGAGTCCTAGAATGAGGAGGGACTTCAGCCTGGATAAGGATAAAGCTCTTAGGGAGTTTATCTTTATCTATTAGAGAGTTCAAGATAAACACTAAGCAGAAGTCCATTGAAACTAGGCTTCTATTGGGACTGGGATTGTGTTGACTATAAAAGAGAGGCAGCCCCAATGGGTCGAAGGTACGCAATTTATATTCAGAATAGTGAATTAAGCACTTAATTTATCTTTGAGAGATAACTGATTTAATCATCGGAGTGCCCCGAGTGGACGAACCACCGCCGAAATCTCTTCTTTCTGTTGCAGGTCATTCAAGTGCCATCTATTCTGCCAGTGCTCTCTAGTTGAATACTGAGTTGGCAGTATGGTCAGAAATTCACTCACACAATTATTATTCAGACTTTACAGCCGAACAAAGCGGATTTTTTTAGTTCTGGAAGTTTGAACACAAAATTCACTCTCTCATTCTCCTTCTCCTTCGCCGTTCTCTTTTACCAGTGTTGTCAAGTCGTATTCCTTGTATATACGTAAATAAAAGAAAGATTTTAAAAAGTAATTTAAATGTTTGTTTGTTTTATGGAAAATTTATTAGAAAATCATTTTTCAAGTGTTTGTATTCCAATTAATTCATAAGATATTTTTATATTCTACTAATAAGTCCTATTATTTAGATATTTGATCTACTAAATTCTAATTCTCATACTTAAGGTATTTTATGGACATTTCTACCCTTATAAATATTTTTTGAACAGTTAGCAATTTGTTGATGTGAATATTCACATTGACGTGCGAATGTTCACATTGACGGTGTGAATATTCACATTGACATGTTAACATTCACATTGACGGTGTGAACATTCACATCCCGGAACATTCATACTGTAAATATAAATATTATTAGAGGTATTTTAGTAGCTATGTCACCCATAAGATTTATTGGAACATAAGAAAATAATGTGAACTAAATGGAATATAAATAGGTGAAAATGGACTTATAAAAAAAAGTACCCCTTGTTTTATTTAGGTGTACCTCAAAAAGATAATTTGAGAGACAAAAAAAAAAAAAAAAAAGGGCAAATGACAAATACACCCCCTGAGGTTTGCTTAAAATACGAATTGTCCCTTGTGGTTTGGAAAATTACAAATACCTCCCTGTCATAATTTTTTATTTAACAAAATTAATTGAAAAAATGAAATTTTTAACTGTTCACCTATACAATAATAAAATTATCTGAATTATTAATTGAAATAAAATTTTAACATTATTAAAAACTGTTAATTAACTTGATGATTTATTAATAAAAGGACCTATTTGTTATCAAATTAGAAATTTTAGGAGGCATAATGTAATTTCTAGAACTATAAGGAATAATTTATAATTTAAATAAATGTCAGAATGTGTATTTGTAATTTATCCAAAAAGAAAAAATCAGATATGTTAAAAATAAATTATACTCATAAATAATTTAATAAAAATATATTAAAAAATTGAGCTGACTTAGAGCTATTTTTCGGTGAATAACCGTTGAATTCGGGGTCGGGGGGGCGGGTCACCGTCGGTCCGGTTTCAAATTGCCATCCCTATCTCAAGTGTTGGTTCTTTCTTCTCTAAGAGCTCTCTCTCTCTCTCTCTCTCTCTCTTTCTCTCTCTCGCTCGCTTGCTTGCGACGTCGTCTTCTACAAAATGGTATGTAGAATTATTGTTTATGTTTTATTTCATTTGCAGTTAGATTTAGATATATAGATAGATACAACTATGGTTTGCATAAACTCTAGAGGGGGCAGGTACTAAATTTCTCAAAAAAATCTTGGAGGGGTGAGCCTATGTAAAATATTGATAATTATATTTAAGGAGCCTTTTCAAAACTTAAGGGTGGCCACTGCCAGCAGCAACCCCCTCGGTCCATCCCTGTGTATGTGTATATGATAGAATACATACCATAAAAACGAAATAGCAAAAAGATAAAGAGCTGTTGTAAAATCCAGGATTGTTTGTTTTGTTTGTGATTAGAGACGTTTGGTGAAGAGGCCAAGAGCAGTTGAATAAAAAACAATTTTATATTTTTGGGGGTTCTACAGTAGCTCCCCACAATTGAGGAGCAACTGTACAGTTCAACTTCCTATAATAGGGGCCCTCTTTAGGGAACCTGCTAGAGTTGGTTTTATGGGGTGAGACTCTCCAAAATATCTAAAAAGTGGAGGATTAGAGATGCTCCAAGAATAAATTCTTAAGTTTCCAACTACTTCAAATTTTCTTAATTTTTAGCATACATTTGTAGAGTCACTTAATTTTGTAAGTGACATTGATGGTGGTTATCAAACGAATTTATTTAATATTCACTTAATACGTTAAGTTTTAAGTTTTGAATTAAGTTATCAAACACTACCTAGATCTGTATGAAGTTTGTTGTCCATTGACTGCACTTGGGGTCCCTTTTTGTTGAACAGGCACTATGCAGAGATGAAGTATTGGTGAAACGGTTTTTCCATTGTTCTCCACCTGCTCGTTCAATTTTAGTTCCCATTGAAACTAGGAGCAACAGGGCTGTCCCTACAGGGGACAGGTTCTGTACCTTGCCAATAGAGATAAAACTCAATATTCTAGAGCACATTCCTTTTGAAGAAGCAGCAAGAACAAGCATCTTGTCTAGTACAAGTAATTGGTCTGAACATTCCCAAGTCATACTTGACAAACTCCTCTTTGAAGAGCGCGGCCGATGGATTGCACTCCATCCAACTGCATGGGTGAACAAAGTTACCGAAATTCTCACTATTCATCGTGAAGGTCTCATTCCCATTCGGAAGTTTATTCTCCACATTCCGGACATGCAATTTAACTGGGCCCTATATATAAATATCTGGATATCATTCCTTTCAAGCAATGGTATCAAGGCACTCTCCGTGGATAATTGGAATATTATTACATATAAGCTTTCTTCTTTTCTCTTGGAGTGCTATGAATTGACACGATTGATGCTCCGTAATTGTATATTCAAGCAACCAGTTGAAGGCTTTCGGAATCTCCAATTCCTTTGCCTTGAGAAAATAGCATTTGGTTCCGACATAGTTGGTGATGTTACACTCAGTACCCCATCGCTTGTGCAGGCGGAGCTTGTAGATTGCATGGGCTTTCGATATTTGAATATTCATGCTCCAGAACTCAAGAATTTTGTTGTTGCGAGTAGTGATAGAATGAGGCGTCATGATTTGAATCAGGTGAAGTTACAAATGGCGAGACCAACTCGACACCGCCACGGCCGAAAGCCGGGTTACAGACTAGAATTTTTTTTCTGTCCCCATAATGATACAAAATTTGTTTTCTGTTCCCGAAGTCAAAGGGCCGGAAGGTGAACCACCTTGAACTATGGACGAAAACAGAAGTTGCTCTCGATTGGGTTGTGATTGATATGGATGGATCACGGGTGGTGTCACACTAGCTACACAATTTAAAGCCTTGTGCTCATAGGGATTACACATGCTCTGTTCATTGGTCATTATTAAGCCTTACTTTGAAGTGGCTTATAAGTAAACATTTTGACTTATTATGAAAAAATATATAAAAAAATAAAGAAGTGATGTGATTTAAATAAGTTAATAATTTTTTTTTTTTCCTTATCATTTTAGGTTTGTCATATTCATTTTGTAGAATGTTTAAGACCCAATTTTTTTTTTCTCATAATTTAATTCATAATAATGTGATATGATATAAATCAACTTTTAATTTGTTATATATTTAATTGTGTGAAATTTATATCTCTTACCACATCATTATTGATAAATTTTAGAATTCAACTTTTGAATACGAGCACTACTCATTTCTTTTCTCAAAACGTTTCTAATGTTGGAAGCTTTTTGTAAGAATGGCTACCACTTGGGTTTTGTTTGTGGCAACTGAGGATGAATGCAATGTATTTTTTTTTGGATAAAAAAAGCAACGTACTTGAAACTCCATGATTTGTACTTTTATTCTTATTATATTGTAGAATAATGATTATCTTCTTTTTAATTTTATTTTTTCAATTCCACCTCTAATAATGTGAAATTAGAAAGCTAAAGATGATAGGGAGAAGTGTGTGAGGCCATTTCACATAGGAGCATGTCATTAGAGGTGGAATTGAAGGGGCAACATTAAAAGATATAACACCACTCATCTTGGTAAATTAAATTCCTTATTTATGTTTTTCCCTGTGTTTGGATTGTATCTTGAATTTGTGAATGAATTTATAGAAGAGAAAATAAAAAGGGAGGGATTTGTGGGGAAAATAAATTTAGAACTAATTTCTATTTAGGGTTGGTTTCGGACCACTTAAATAAGCAGTTTATTTGTTTATTTGTTACATATTTTTTCATAAAAGTCAATAAGCTAAAAAAATAAGCAAATCTTAAACCGTAAGCCTTAAAGATTATAACCTCAATGTTTTTTGATCAACTCCTAGCAAAGCCAATGCTTTTGTTTTTTACCCCGTCATGAGAAATGGTATTTATATACAAAATGGTATGACTGCACTGAATCTTATTGTTTTGAAATAAAATATTGATTTAAATGACATTGAATTACATAAATATTAATATCAAATTGGATACTCGGGCAATAAATCTAATTTTAAATTTTTTTGCTCAAAGGTCCAAGTGTTAATTTATTATGGCCATAAGGACAAGACAATGCGAAATGGCCAAAATACCTTTACATATAAAACAAACACACGCTTATCTGTTGAATACAAATTTCTCAAAACCCCCTCTCTCTCTCTCTCTCTCTCTCCATCTCTCACTCTTGTCACCACATATACCACCACTTCTATCTCCGTCGCGACGGCAAGGGTAGAGACAGTGGTGAGGTTTGATAGATCTGGTTGGAGACTCTTTCGGTGGCTCCGAAATCGTTTATGAAAGCACTACCTCACGCTCCACCAATCTTTTTCTCCTAAGGCTCTGGCCATAACTCCCATCGTCGTCACCATGACTCTAAAGTTCATATCCGATCAATGGCAAATATGATTTTAAAAATAAATTGTTAACAAAAATGTGTTTCGATCAAGAGGCTATCAATATCCGATCAACGTGATTTTTTGCAAGCATGAAGTACTTGACAAGCTCTACACATTGAACGGTTCAGATCATTGAAACGGGACCCAAATTGGGCCCCATGGATCCAACAATACACTTCAGTTCACACAATGGACTAGAGAGAAGCCTTTTTCCTTTAAATATATAACTACCAATATCTGATTATTTAAATTTTTTATATTAATATTCTACTCAATAAGTCTTAAAAAATAAACTGTTCGGATCATCGAGATCGGCCCCAAAATGCGCCCATTAAATCCAAACGCTCTCTTAAATTGAGATAACTAATTGGAGATAATCCAAACCTGGCTCCGCTTGGTTAGAAAGAAATAAATTATGGAAAGTGAAAATGGTAAAAAGTAAAGTGAAAGAAAAGAAAAGGAAAAGAAAATATCCTTTCTCGGATGAATTTGATAAGGATGAAAATTTTATAAGAAAATAGGAATTCTAATTATAAGTAACCATTTTTATAACAAATTTAAACTTTCTTACATTTTCGTGTGTTTTTTGCACAAACACTGGAAGCTTAGTTACCATACTATTATGAGTTGTATAAGAAAATTAAGGCTCTTTTTGGTAAACCTCTCAAATTATAGTTCCACCCATTGATTTGAGTGTGGTATTTGTTTTGAATTTTCAAATCATAATTCTACACCCATTTTAGAAAAATTTTATAATCCACTACTTTTATACAGGTTGGTTTGAGATGTCCTAAAAAAGTGCACTTTTTGACTTATTGGTGGGTTTGGGTTGGGTTTGGATTGGGTTTGATGTGATGTGTTAGAGAGGTGATGTGATTTAAATAAGATGATGTGACTTAAATAAGATAGTGACTTTTTGACTTTTTTACTTATTTAGTACATGCCAAACTAGCAAATTTAGAAAAATTTTATTTTTTTCCATTTCTTTCACTTTCTACTATTTTTATCCTCACTAAACCGAGCCTTAAAACAATGGATGTTAGTATAATTTTAAAAAATAAAAGGGTGTTATCTGTATTTTCAATATACCATATGGGTGATTTGTGTAATTTACAATATTTATCTCCATCTATCAATATGCTTCCAGCCTCCTTCTCTCTCTCTCTTCTCGAAGAGGTGGCAATCTATAGCAGAAGAAGAAGAAGAAGAAGATCAATGAAAGGAGTGGCTTTTCTTCATCTTTTCAACCTCTGGTATTTCTTACTTCTTAGTTTTCTCGTTCCTTTTACCTCTTGTTTTATTCTTTTTCAACATCAAAGTTTGGATTGTTTTATATTTTTTTTAATCGTTCTTGTCTGTACATTTCGTTGCCTGTATGATCTGATGCTTCTGGATATGGGTTTGATATCTTTAGTATTAAACATGTTATGAATCATTGGAATTTGGGCCAGTGAGATAGTAACGGAAAATTTAGGAAAACTCTCCGTTTGTTTGTTGACGAAAATCGATGCAAAGAAAAGAAGATTAGCTTTTGAATCAACTGTTATGCGTCATCTGTGTCATCTAAAGAATGAAAATTTCAATAGTTTTTAATCGAAATTTTTGTGTTTGGTTCAGTAGAATTGAGGAATTTTTTTGTCTGAAGTTCCCGATGAGTTTTTTTTTTCCCTTCTATTACCTAAATTTTCTCTGCAACCAAACAGAGTGAGGAGAAATTTTTCATGCGTTTGGTTCAAATTTAATCAATGGGAAATGCGAAAGACTGTGTGTTGATGTGTTTTTTTCCTGCCTGTTGGCAATTCGGCTGATGAGGATATTTTTTTTCTTCTTCTATTTCCTAAATTTTCTCTGCAACCAAACAGAGTGCGAGGGGAAAATTTTCATGGGTTTGGTTCATATTTAATTGTTGTGAAATCCGAAAGACTGTTGATGTATTGTTTTTTTCTCTGTCTGTAGGTAATTCAACTGAAAACTGCACATGGATAATGTTATAGGGCAAGATTTGATTAGTGATCTGCCTCAAAGTATTGTAGAAACCATCCTAACAAAGCTTCCGATAAGGCATGCAGTAAGAACATGCAGTTTATCGAGTAAATGGAGGTATAAATGGGCCAACCTTACTCAACTTGTATTTGATGACAAGTGTGCAACGCTTTGTAATGACAAAGGAGCTGTCGAGGACAGCCTTGCAAAGTTCATTACTCGGTTTCTTTTTCTTCATGATGGACCAATTCACAAGTTCAGTTTGTCTAGCGCATACTTGCAAAGCTCACCCGATATAGATCAATGGCTGCTTTTTCTATCAAGGAATGATATTAAACAATTGATTCTTGAATTAGGAGAAGGCGAGTGGTTTAGGGCTCCTTCTTGTCTTTTCTCCTGTCGAAGATTGACTCGTTTGGAGCTAATTCGATGTGAATTGGACCCTCCTCCGACTTTTAAAGGATTCTTATGTTTGAAATACCTCAATCTTCAACAAGTTTTGATTGCCCCCGATGTTGTTGAAAGTCTCATATCAAGCTGCCCTCTTCTTGAGAGTTTGACGTTATCGTACTTTGATAGTTTAGCTCTTACTATCTGTGCTCCGAATCTCAAATACTTGTGTCTGGAAGGCGAATTTAAAGACATATGTCTCAAAAATACCCCACTTTTGCTTGCTATATCTGTTGCTATGTATATGACTGATGATATTGCCGAGCATTTTGAACAAAGTTCAAGTTGCAACTTTGATAAGTTTCTTGGCAGTGTACCATGCCTTGAGAGACTTATTGGACATATTTACCTCACCAAGGTAACTTTAATAAATTTCTTTTTTATTTATTTAGGTTCTATGGAAAACATAGTCTAGTGCTTACTCGTAGCCAAAGTGCTTTCTTATGTTATTGTTTTTGTCAAGTATTTGAGTATAGGTAACGACCTAGGAAAACTTCCAGTTGCATATAACCATTTAAAAGTTATTGAATTGTATCAAGTGAGTTTTGAGGACATGAAAGAGATACTGGTGGTTCTTCGTTTGATTGTGAACTCCCCTTGTTTACAAGAACTTCAAATCTCGGTGAGTAATCTTGAACTTATTAAATATTTTATATTTCAGATTACAATGGCCATTCACTTGTTCATTTCCTTGTATTGATTGATATAGGGTTCTTCAAATACATCAACTGCAACAGAAGCTCCTGATTTGGATTTTTGGGAGAAAGAATGCCCGTCTGATTGCACATTCAGTCTGCTTGAAACTGTGAAGATGACAGATATGTCGGGTGTGCCCCATGAGATGGAATTCATCGAATTTTTACTTAGAAACTCACCAATGCTTGAGACAATGAGCATTACACCTAGTGTATATGTTACAGATGGAAGATTGAATATGTTGATTGAGTTGGTGAGGTTTCGAAGGGCTTCTGCACAAGCTGAAATCATCTTCATCCAAGATTGATATGTAAAAACTGTTTTTCTTACATGAAGTCACTTTGTTTTGTGTTTGTTTTCCTTCTTTTGACAGATCATTGGGCTTCCATTTGTATTTATCTTGGCCAAGTTGTTGCAAATGATGAAATAATATTTACAATCCATGCAAAGTCCCACAAAAAATCATTTAGTTTATTTTGTCTTTTATTTATTTTTGGGATTTTTATTGATAAATCCCATTTAGAAGTCTTCTAATCC